GTGTGTGTGTGTGTGTGTGTGTGTGTGTGTGCCTGTGTCCCCCGTAGAGTCTTGCTCCCAGGGCGTGGGTCCTCGGTCGCTAGCAGCCAATCATTGAACTGATGCACGCTGATTGGCTACGTTTTGCAAAATGAGCTGTGCTGGAACGGGTTAAATTTTTTAACTGCAGTTCCACTGTATTTTGGCCACAGTTAGCTGCTTTTGCTACTTCTGACTATAACAAGGCAATTATCCGTCGGACAAATACAACACTTCCTCAGTGACTATCAATGTGGATCATCACGACAGCGAGGGCGTAGTGGTGACTTTCTTGTCAATTAGCTCAGCAACGGACTGTGTCGTAGAAGCCCCGGGGCTACAAAGAAGCCAGTCTCGATCAGAATATGTGTTGACCTGGCTTCGCAGAGTACGTGCGAAGCCATAACGACTGTCATACATGAGGGAGGGGATGAAGCACGCCAAATTGTAGACTTCGCGCCACCTCAGCCAGTGCACCCAGATGACTGAATGGCTAAAACAACCGAGTGGTTCACACACTGGTTTTTTATAATCACCCCAGTATGCTTTTATTTATTTTGACGCACTAAAAGTCGTGGCTTGAAAGACTGCCAACCTATGGGGTAACCCAACAATTGTCGGAACTTGCAGTCAATCTCAATAGCGTCTGCTTAGTATGGCTTCTATGGCATTCTAATACATGTGATATCCGAGTCACCGTCGAAGATGCAGGACGTATTTGATGGTATAAGCTTCGGTGTTTGAATATATTTGAAAAGAAAGAGCGTTTCTGTCTTAAACCAAACACCCTGTCTTACTAAGGCTTTCGTTTATTTAGCTACCATCACTAATTTAGGTTAATATCTGCCAACAGCTGTAGTAGTGTATGTCTCAATCTGTCTGACTGGTTGGCCTTGAATAGCCAGAAAATTCGGTCTGTGAACTGCAAAGTTTTAAGGTAGTACTCTAAAGCTTTTAAATTTTCCAGAAATTTATGTGCAGTTCTGGGATGGATTCCCGAAGAAATCCCGAAAACCTGTGGCCTAGCGGAAGTCCTCAGAGTTGCGTCATACATAACTAGAAAGCCCGTGGCACCCATTTATGCCGGAAGTATGTCTAGGCTATTCCCTGTGTGAAAACTGTGTCTTTATTGAGCTTGTGGTCGTGAATATTACGATTATTCCGTGGACGGGATGATGTAATTCAACGAAGTATCCATATCAATAGTGGGGTCACACGTGGATGGGCATGTCGTTAGGGCCTATTAACGTACTTAGCACAACGTACTCAAGGCAAGCAAAGCGTGTACAAGCATGCACAAGATAAGCCCACAATCGGACGAACCAGCTAGTCTCCTCAAGTCGATAGCAGCTTGACTGGCTTTCTGACTCATCCGAATGGTGTGCTGGAGTCCTAATCTAGGCCGCAGCTTGCGCGTAATCACGTTCACTGCATGTGGGCGGACCGGAAGTGTGGCATGGGAATGAGTCGTCAGTGAATGAATTACTTTATAATTTAAGCCAGTTGTTGAGCTCCTTCTCCCCCGCATCAGAACGTAAGTTTGGATTCCTCAATGGTGGTTTTTCTGGCATTTATTCCGTCGGATTTAGTCTGTTTCATTTTCACTCTCGTGAAGAATCTGCATAGTGTGTGGGTTCGAGGGTTTGATCTATTTGCTGTCTTTTAACTTCCTCAGAAACTAATCGGGCAAAAGTAGCTTATGTAGCTCCACCATTTATCCCCTAGGTCCCAGCATTTTGTCCTGCAAAAATGGTGGTAATATAATACCCCTACTCCCAGCATTTTCTCCTGCAAAAACGGTGTTTATAAAGTTTTAGGGGGGTGGGGAAATAAAAAAGGCAGAGAAGGAAATTTTTAGAAGTAAGTGTTAAGTGAAAAAATGTAGTCGAATTTGCTTCCCGCGGCCGCTGGAAGTAAGTTGTTCCGCATGTAAATTGGAGGTGTGCCGCTTACGCGGCCGCTGGGAGTAAGTTGTTTCGCATGTAAATTGAAGGTGTGCGCGGCGCTTCGCTCCCCGCGGGCTATTGTTCCGCATGTAAATTGAAGGTGTGCGCGGCGCTTCGCGCAGCGGACCATGTCTAACTCCAGAACGGTAAGTTGGACCACAGGTAAGTTGAAGTAGACGACCTTCTAACCAACATTTCAATTTTTCGGGAAGTTCAAGAAACCTGCAATTTGATGATCAGGTTTTTCCGCAATAAGTTAAATGGTAATACGGA